AGCAGAGACACTAAATCTCCTGGAAGAGAAAGTAGGAGGAACTCTTGAAGACATAGGGGTAGGCAAAGAGTTCATGGACAGAAATCAAATCGCACGGGTTGCAGTTGAAAGAATTAACAACTGGGACCTGCTCTTACTGAGAAGTTTTTTTCCCGTCAAAAGAAATTATCAACAAAGTGAACAGGCAACCCACAAATTTGGAAAAATTCATGACAAATAAGTACTCAGACAAAGATCGGCTCTCTAGAATCCGTTAAGGACTAAAAAACAGTAGGGCCCCAAAATTTTAAGACCCAATCTAGAAATGGGCATCTGAGATGAACACACACTTCTCAGAGGAAGAAATTAAAGCAGTGAATAAATATGTGAAAAAATGCTCCACATCACTAGCCATTTGTGAAATGCCAATTAAAACCATGTTGAGATATCATCTCACCCAAGAAAGAATGGCTGTCATAAAGAAATCACCCAACAACAAATGTTGGAGAGGCTGTGGGGGAAAAAGGAACCCTTCTCCACTGCTGTTGGGAATGCAGACTGGTGCAACCATTACGGAAAACAGTATGGAGACTCCTTATAAACGTTGGACTGCAAATCCCCTTTAAACCAGGTATTCCTCTACTGGGAATTTTCCGAGAGGATATGAAATCATCATATCATAGTGATATATCTGTGCCTATATTTAGAACAGCACGATTTGTGATAGCCAAATATTCGAAAGAACCAAGATGCCCATCACCTGAGGAATGGTTGAAAAAGATGTGGTATTTTTACACAATGGAGTATTATTCAGCTATTAAGAATGATAAACTCAAAGTCTTTATATTGAAATGGATGCCACTTGAACATATACTCATAAGTGAAATAAACCAGACACACATGTGTAAATATCGTATAGTCTCCCTAGTATAAGAACTGAAAGAAGAAATACAAATAGAAAGGTATAATACAAGTAAAAGGAAAGCAGGATCTCAAGTACTAACTAATCAAGAGAGGGAAAGGAGAAGAGGTAAGAAAACATTTTTTGTAGAAGATGAGCAAGGCAATGATCCTGAGAATCTTCAGATTTTTTAATCTAGCAGTTATTAGGAAAGATTCTCACCCTGACTAACTATATATACTGATACCTGTGAACTAAGCTACTGTACTGCAGATGATAAATTGCAATAGTAGTTTCATGCTTGGAGTGCCTGTTATTCTGTTCTGAATATGGGCTGCTTGTCATGACATGCCAGTTGCTTCTATGATGTGTCTCGGATAGGTCGATGTTCATGAACAAGGGTGTGGTGAATGAAAGCAAGAGATAGGAAAAGGAATATCATAGGACTGTCGTGCTTCAAGGTTGTATATGGTTAGATTTTTGGACTTATGTGCAAACATGAGAAGTATACAATTCATTATGCCTATTTTTAAAATATATTCAAATTTTTAAATGTTTTTATCATGTTCTGTAGGGACATAAAGTTCAACATATCAATACTTGATGAAAAATACCTGTTCCATTGTATGCTTAAGATGTTTGATATGCAGACAGATAGTGAGGTTAAGCTTAACAGCCTAAGTTGTTTGATAATAACAATAAGATTTTCTTCTGCGTGGCTAACAACCTAAGATTGCAGACTAAAATTAGAGAAAAAGAAGGGCTGCAAGGAAAGCCAACATTTTGACCCTAACCTTCTAAGGGCAATTAAGACTCAGGACATATGAGAACTTGTACTGTAACATCATGTAACTTGGTAGTGTCCCAAATTTTCTGATCAAGGAGATTATGGGGTCAAAGAGGAAAGTGATTGATCCAGTAGAAATGTATGAAAATGAAATATAGGAATGAAAGGCATGCTGCTATGTTGAGCTGTGGCGGACTCAGGTCAACAATTTCTGACATTGCCAGTTAAACAGAAGACCCAATGGTATTATTGGCTACTGGACTCTTAGATTATTTTCCTGAGTTTACACACCTATAATATTCAAATAACAGAACTTAACAAAAAAGGGTATACAGATGAATGTCCATTTTGTATCTGTGTATTCAAAGTGATTAGGATAGATATATAGTTACATTCTGTTAATGAATAGAATGATATTTTCTAATGGTGTTTGTAAAGAGGATCTCAAGTCCGCATCTTGTACAGCAATTAACCACTATGAAGAATGTATGCCGTGTGTTAGTTGTGGAAATTGTCCTAGCGATTTGTTTTGAAACTGTCTCATTGCTATTTGTTTATCAATAAAATTATGAAAAAAACGAAACTGTCCTATGAATCTGCTTTGAAACTCTCTCATTGCTATTTGTTTCTCAATAAAATTAATAATAATAAAAAAGACTGCCATTTTTGCCTTTGGGTTCTTGTTCCTTAATGGTTTGGGTTATATGAAATATAGAAGTAATTTTCAGTTTCCTGTTTACCATATAGGTAAGTTCCCCTAAAAATATAAATAATGGAAGACCTCAAAGTTTTCAGTGCATAAATGGATCATTATAATATATTAAACTGAGAAATATAAATATTCAAAACTATTTTGCAGAAATGAGATCAAGTAATGTAAATCAAAATGCACCTTATTCTTTAGTTATTAACTTATATTTTTCTGGCATAAATATAATTATTGCTATCTGAAACAAGAATATAAGTACCTATAAATCTTAGCCTAAATGATTGACACACAGAAGAGCATAGGCCACACAGGAAATTTTCTGAGGCTATGAAAAACTCTGAATGCATGATGTTGTGACTTGTAATCTTCAACTTTGTATAACATCATGCCCAAAGTTTCTTGCCTGAGCAGGGATATTTCCACAATGTAACACTGAGTCATGTAGTTCAATATGTTATCAAAATCCCAAGTTTCCTTTCAAGTGGCTTATTGACAGGACTTTCTTCCCAAGAGGAGGCAGCCCCTGGGATGTCACTGTCTGTGGACTTGGACAAGTTCAGTATGCCTCTAGGTGGAGGGAAAGAGACTCAAATATAACGTCCACTTTGTGTTTTTCAGTTGAGCACCAGGTCTCAGTTGTAGAGCCCAGCAGAAAAGTGGTAGCAAATTCCACCAGGGAAAAGTAGGCTGAGTTGCAAGGAGATAGGGGCTTGTGAGGGTCCAATAGGTCACAAATAATAACTCACAGGGGTAAACACACACACACACACACACACACACACACACACACACACTATTTGTTTACCTGGCTGACATTGCAAGTTTCTCCCTCACTCAGACTTAAGGGATTGAGCACTCTCCCAGTATGCTCCTTTTCATTGTCCTCCTCCTTCTCCTGCAGCTTCCTGTCCTGTTGTGTATCTTTGATAACGAAGCCTGCCTTCGCAAAAGAGGCACCAGCGTGCACAAGCATGGAGATATGGTGATCGGGGGTACTTTCTCTCTTTACATATCTCTATATTTCACTGGTATTGTTAACCTGGAGCCCAGGAAAGACTTCTTTAACATTCAGTAAGTGGCTTCTTCACATATTCAATTTCTTCTGCGTTATTAGGATGGATAATGCTTAGCAATTGTTTGATGGATTTGTCGACATTGTGCATATTGCTTCCTGTCCTTCCCACCTACTTAGGCAGAGACCTGTCTGAAAATTATTTTGAATTTACATGCACTCCTTTTCACCTTTTGGAAATTGAAAGGTAGTATTCTCTTTGTGCTTTTTTATCTTACTGTTTTCTGGGTTGAAACCCGAGGGAAACACCGCTCTCCACTTTATTCCACTGCCCATGCCTCTCCTCCTACGTGAGCAGTCACTGCATGCATTCAGTGATTGAATTCAGTGTTAGGAAGCTACAGAAGAGTATCACTGCATAAAACCCAGAGCCTGATATTGTGCCCTGATTGCGCATGAAACTCCTTCCATCCCACTGTTTCCACTGCTATTTGTACTACAGCTGCCTGGAGAATGTATTGCTGTAAATATTCTGTTATCCTGTCCATTAGTATATATGCCATTTCATGAGAGATGTGTTCCAAACATTTTGGAGCTAGAAAATAAGCCAGAAGCAGGGAGAAGTCAGCTCTGAGGCTTTTGTTGGTAATTTTCATAACCTCAAATGTTACTGTTTTTCATCTGGACACATACGTACTCTGTCTGCAGATACCAACACATCTGTTTGTAGAAAATGTGTAATTAAATCACAGATTTTGCGGTGTGTCAGATGATACTAGTTGATGACTTGTGCCCCCAAATCAATAGGAAGTGTCACTGAAATAATGGTTATGTGTCTCACCTGAGCCTTGAGCCACAAGTGTTCCTGTGGCATCTCTTGTATTTGGAAACAGTGGTGGCAGAGTGAGAAATCTGGGCCTCTTCCTTGTGCAGACAGTGTCTGTGCCTTTCTCACATTCCTTATTATGTTAAAATGTTTGCTTTTATTTTTATCCTGGGCACTTCCCCTGTGTTTCACAGACACAAGCTTATGTTACCTCAGGTGGCATGAAACTCCCAGACTGAACACTTCTGCCTCAGACTCTGGAGCAGCTGGCTTACAGGCACATGTCATCACACCTGGCCACTGAATTTTTAAAACTTTCCAAAACATGTTTGGTCATTACCAGTGCACTTGGCATGCATGCAGACATTAATTTTGTTTTCTGATGTTAAGCACTATTTGCAACCGATTGAGGGCTCACCAGGATCTGGGTAGCATAAGGGAAGTCTACTCTGAATTACCCACAGGGCTTGCCAAAACTATGAAGAGATAAATTTAAATATAGATATGCATCTTCCAGTGTTCTTCCCAGTTTCTTTGAAATATTAAATTTGTTTATTTATTTTTCTTGAGAGTACGATTCTTCTCTTTTGATGACTTAGTTTGGTGATGTCACGTTTCAGAGTATTTCTAAAGTATTGTTTCCTCTTGCTATAAAAACATATTCTTTCTATTTTTGATTATAATACATGCACTTTGTTAGAATTATATGGCTTTGTTAAATTTTCTTTTACAGTTTTTAAGAGAATTCTGCTATACTAGATGCATTGTTCCCAAAATGTTTTAAATGGCAGATTTTATTATTAAACATTTTTAAAGTTCTTAGCTACATAGTTTTTGCTTGACTATTGTACTTTTTCTGTAATGGCTCCTTTTCAAGTTTTCTTCTTGGATTTATGAGGTGAACAATTTTAGATTTTTTGAGATACTAGTGGCATCTTCTCCATGTAATTCTTTGTCAAGTTTTCCAGTTGAAAAAATATTTTTTCATACAGAAAATTGAAACCAATGCTTTAGAAATAGCTACACATCCAAATTTCCTCCTCTTCTTTTCTTTGCATCTTATTTCTCCACCTTTTTCTTTTTCTTGACAGGATTTCACTAAGTTTTTAAATTGCTGACACTGGCCTTGCTGACACTAGCTTTGAAATAATGATTTTTTGGCATCAGACTCACAGATTGCTGAGATTACAATCATACAACACCATCCATGAATTTTTAGGCTTATACTTTGGGAATACTTATATAATCCTAAATCATTCTCTGATGCTCACATAAATACTGTCTTCATCTGCATTTGTTGAGAAGACTGTTGATGCCTCTTTCTTTAGATCTTCATCCCACAACACTCAAAGATCATATGTTGTTCACCGTTTAGTTTACAGTTTTCTTAACAAGTGATCTGTCCAGTGCAGAAAGAAAGTAGTTTTCTGTGTAATCCATCATGCCCTGGAAGGAGAATAATCTTCTAATCCTGTCCTTCAACTGATATTACTTCTTATATATTGTCACACAGATAAACAGCAAGAAGGATTTTGTTTGCTTATATTTCAATGATACTTTCTCATTACTTAATGCATTTAGCTAGAAATGAATAATTTTTAGGACCAAATACTGTTTTAATCTTTTCAGAAATGTGAGGATACTAATAAATCATTCAAAATTTCTAATTACTTATATAATTTAATTCCTCCCTTGAACTGTGTTTTGAATATTTGTGGCAAGCACGTGTTAATAGTACAGAAACATACTTTCATGTTCTGTTTAAGAATTTTCCAGTTGAATAATTTTTTTATACTGGAGATTGAAACCAATACTTTAGTAATAGCTACAGAACCAGATTTCTTCCTCTTTTCTTCTCCTCATATTCTTTCTCCTCCTTCTTCTTTTCCTTGACAGAGTTTTGCTAAGTTTTAAATTGCTGACAACTGCCCTTGACCTAATGATGGATTTTTAGCAACGGATTCACAGGTTGCTGAGACTATAATCATGCATCAGAATACAGGATTGCTAGGCTTATATTATGAAAATAACTGTAATGTAACTCCATTCAGAATCAATATATAATGTAAATTTTATTATAAATCTATTGAAACCCTGTAAAATGTTATATAATTTTATTTTATTTGGGTAAATGACTATGTTTTAATTTTCAAAACAAAACCTATCTTTATTTAGATCAATGCTGAGACCCAATCCTAGCCCAGGTCTGGTGAGTGTGAGGAGAGCTTCCTGCTACCCTGCACCCGCGGGACTAGTCCCAGCCCAGGTGCAGCATGGGCCAGACCCTCTCCCACCCCTTGGGCCGCCCACCACGACTGTGCAGTACCTCCCCCACCCCACCCACCGAGTAGGAATTTCTGCTGCGTTCCAGGAACCCCCAGACCCAGTCCTAGCCCAGGTCCAGTGAGTGTGTGGAGAGCTTCCTGCTACCCTGCGCTGGCGGGACCAGTCCCAGCCCAAGTGCAGCATGGGCCAGACCCTCTCCCACCCCCTTGGGCCACCCCCCACCACTCTTCAGTACCTCCCCCACCCCCCCACCCCTGCTGAGTAGGAATTTCTGCCACGTTCCGAGAACCCCCAGACGCAGTCCTAGCCCAGGTCCAGTGAGTGTGTGGGAGAGCTTCCTCTTCCCCCTACTTCACCTTGCCCCCTCCAGGCACAGCTCAAGCTCAGGCCTGGCATACACACCTGGGGTGTAACCCTGCAGCTGCAATCCCTGCAGGGAGTGTAGAGGATAGATCCACCCAGCTAGTCCAGGAGGAGAACATCTTGCCACAGGGGCACAGCAGGTTCACCCTCAAGGGCAACAGAGGGAAGGAGCTGAGCACAGCAGCCAGACCAAAGCCAGACACAGCTGGATAAGTCCAAACTTTGTAGAGTTGCACCTGAACTTCAGTACGTGCGAAGGTTGTAACTACAGCAAAGATCTACAACAAAGGTCAGAAGACAGTGCTACACAAAATGACGAGAAGGAACAAAATGCAACCTCAAACCCAACCCCACCTGTAACAAGTGCAGAGGACACTGACACAGAAAAAATTGGAAATCACACAGCTGAAAGCAATGAATCAATGGATTCTGAAATAAAGAAACAGCTGCAGAAAGATATAGAAGACCTCAGACTGGAAATAAAAAAAGAAATCTCTGAATTAATAACATCTGCACTAAAGAATCAAATGCAGAAACATATGGAAGAAACCCAGTGCCCACCCAGAACAAGTGCGGAGGACACTAGCTCGGCTCAAATGCATGAATTAATAGCGTCGATAGTAAATAAGCAACGGCAGAAAGATATAGAGGAAATCAGAGCGCAACTCTTTTCTGAAATATTTAGATCAATGCTATGAATTTACAATAGTATTTGTGAATTTGCTGAGCCTAGTGTTAGTTTTCTTACCTAGTGTTGTTAATGCTTATTTTACTTTCTTCTCTTTATCAGGCTTGATTATCTACTTTTTAATTTTCCCATAATAACAGTTCTATTGGTCACTTCTCTTTGGACTGTTGTGCTTTAGTACCTAATACTAAAATATCTCACATATGTTTAAATTGTTCTTCCCTTGATTTGAGAAGGCTTACTTCCTGTGCACACACTGTTCAGATTTACACACCAAGAAATCTGCTGTTTCCATACTTTTTCACACAGTCAATTTTTAAATTCAACATTTCCCTGTGTGTCTAGCTCTCTGGGCTCTTGCTTACTACATTTTAAGCATGGATTTGATTCCCTGTTTGACCTGAGGGTAACTCATCAGTTACTATTATTTGTTAATTTTTTTGAGTACATCTTTACAGATCATGTATTTTGCAATCATCTTGGGCACCAGTAGAGCTGGATTCATTTTTAAGCCACCCCTTCCCACTTCTTCCTCATCTTTTAAATCTCTTTTCCCTCTTTTTATTCATCTTAATGTCATTAATTTTCTTTCACATTTAAACATAAAACATTTACATTTAATGAGGTTATTATGTCCCCATGTGTGGCACATCTTTATTCTACATACTTTAACCCCTCCTTCTTGCTTTCAGCAACATTTTCTCAGAATTCTCCCTTTTTTCAAGAGAGCTACCCCTTTGCTTTCTTCTATCCATCCTTAGTTCTCTTTGTTTCTACTTCACATCCATAAAATGAGAGATGCTTTGTGGAATTTAAGCTTGTGTGTCTGATTTGTATTCTAAATGAGTATTACGATATATCCTCTGGCTTATGGAATACATATTTGTGTGCTTGTG